TATGATAGGCATCCCAGAAGAGGAAGAGAGAGAGAAGAGGGAGCAGAGAATTTACTTGAAGAAATAACAGCTGAGGGGCACCTGGGTGGTTCAGTCAGTTACGAATCATCCTCTAGGTTTCCACTCAGGTCATGGTCTTAAGATCATGGGATCGAGCCCCGAGTCGGGCTCTGCCCTCAGTGTGGAGTCTGCTTGTCCTTCTCCCTCCCCCGGCCAGCACATGCACTCTCTCTCTCTCTCTCTCTCGCTAAGTAAATAAATAAAATCTTATATAAAAAAAAAAAAAAAAAAAAGAAAGGACAGCTGAAAAGTTCCCTAATCTGGGGAAGGGATGAAATATCCAGATCCAGGAGGCACAGAGAACCCCCAATAAAATCAACAAAAGCCAATCCACACCACGACATACTGTAATTAAAATGGTAAAATATAGTGATAAAGAAAAAATATTAAGAGCAATAATATAAATGAAGACAGTTACATAGAGAAAGGAAACCCCATAAGGCTATCCACAGATTTTTCAGCAGAAACTTTCCAAGCCAGAAAACAGTGGCATGATATATTCAAAATGCCGAATGGGAAACACCTGCAGCCAAGAATCCAAGGCTATCATTTGGGAGGAGAGATAAGGAGTTTCCCAGACAAACCTACAGGAGTTCATGACCACTAAACCAGCTTTGCAAGTAATATTATAGGAGACTTTTTGAGTGGAAAGACCAAAAATGATTGTATAAGGGTAGGAAACACACAAGCAATAAAAATGAGTATTTCTATAAAAAATTAGTCAAGGAACACACAAAATAAAAGGATGTAAAATATGACACCCTATACCTAAAACGTGGGGAAGACAGGAGAAAATAATGGGTTCAAACCTAAATGACCATCAACTTAACACAGACTGCTACATGACAAAGAGGTTATATACAAACCTAATGGTAACCACAAATCAAAAACCAACAACAAATATGCAAAGAATGAAGAGAAAGAAATCCAAATATACCTCTAAAGAAAACCAGCAAACCATGAGAGGGAAAAAGAAAGGATCAGAGAAAATCTTCAAATTCAAATGACAAAACAAGTAATGAAATGGCAATAAATACTTATCTATCAATAATGACACTGAATGTACGTGAAATAAATGCTCCTCTCAAAAGACACAGCGTGATAGAATGGATTAAAAAACAAGACCCATGTATATGCTGCCTACAAGAGACTCATTTTAGACCTAAAAGCACCTGCAGATTGAAAGTGAGGAATGGAGAAACATTTATCATGCAAATGGATGTTAAAAGAAAGCCGGAGTAGCAATACTTCCATTGGACAAAACAGACTTTAAAAGAAAGCCTATAATAAGAGATAAAAAAGGACACTATAATAAAGGGGACAATCCAACAAGAAAACCTAACAATTATAAATATTTATTTACCCGGGGGCCTTGGTGGCTCAGTCAGTTAAGTGTCCGACTCTTGGTTTTGGCTTGGATCATGGTCTCAGGGTCATGGGGCCAAGCCCCATGTTGGGCTCCTCACTCAGATTGCTTGAGATTCTCTGCCTCTCCCCTTCCTTCTGCCCCTCCCCCTGCTCACTCTCTCTCTCTAAAATAAATCTTTTAAAAAAATATTTATGCACCCAACATAGGAACACCCAAATACATAAAACAATAACAACCATAAAGGAACTAACTGATAATTCAAAAACAGGAGGGGACTTTAACACCTGATTTACATCAATGGACAGCTTATCTAAACAGAAAGTCAACAAGGGAACAATGGCTTTGAGTGTTACACTGGAACAGTATGACAACAGTATCTCTTAAATCCTTAAGAGATATATTCAGAATACTTCATGCTAAAGCAGAAAACACATTCTTTTCAAGTGTACATGGAACATTCTCCAGAACAAATCACATATTAGACCACAAAACAAGCCTCAACAGAGGCACCTGGGTTAGGCATCTGCCTTCCATGATCCCAGGGTCCTGGAATCGAGCCCTGCATCAGGCTCCTGACTCAGTGGGGAGCCTGCTTCTCCCTCTCCCTCTGCCTCTCTCCCTGCTCGTGCTCTATCTCTGTGTCTCGAATAAATAAAATCTTAAAAAAAAAAAAAAACAAGCTTCAACAAATTTAAAAAGATCAAAGTCACACCATGCATCTTTTCTGACCGCAATGCTATGAAACTAGAAGTCAATCCCAAGAAAAAATCTGGATAGGGCACAGATACATGGAGGTTAAAAAACATGCTATTAAACAATGAATGGGTCAACCAGGAAATACAAGAAGAAATTTTAAAAGTACATGGAAATAAATGAAAGTGAAACATGATGATTCGGACCTTTGGGACACAGCAAAAGCAGTCCTAAAAGGGAAATATATAGCTAATAGAGGCCTACCTCAAGAAGCAAGAAAAATCTCAAACAACCTAATCTTACACCTAAAGGAACTAGAAAAAGAATAAATGAAGCCTAATGCCAGCAGAAGGAAGGAAAATATAAAGATTAAAGCAGAAATAAGTGATATACAAACTAAAAAAAAAAAAAACAACAGAACAGATGAATGAAACCAGGAGCTGGTTCTTTGGGGAAAAAAAAAAAACAACAAAACTGATAAACGTCTAGGCAGACTCATCGAGAACAAAAGAGAAAGGACTCAAAGTCACAAGTGAGAGAGGAGAAATAAAAACCAACACCACAGAAATATAAACAATTCCAACGGTTTATTATAAAAAAACAATATGCCAACAAATTGGACAACCTAGAAGAAATGGATAAATTTGTAGGAACATATAACCTACCAAAACTGAAGCAGGAAGAAACACAAAACTTGAACAGACCAATTACCAACAAAGAAATCAGTAACAACAACAACAAACTCCCAACAAAAATCTAGAACCAGATGGCTTCACAGCGGAATTGTACCCAACGTTTAAAGAAGAGTCAATACCTATTCTTCTCAAACTATTCCAAAAATTAGAAAAGGAAGGAAAACTTCCAGATTTATTCTGTGAGGCCAGCATTATTACCCTGATACCAAGATCAGATAAAGACCACAAAAAAGAGAACTACAGGCCAATATCTCTGATGAACATAGATGCAAAAATCTATGTTAAGACTATCCAATGGGAAAAAGACAGTCTCTTCAACAAATGGTGTTGGAAAAAGTGAACAGCTACACGCAGAAGAATCAAACTAGGCCACTTTCTTATACCATACACAAAAATAAACTCAAAATGCATTAAAGGCCTAAACATGAGGCCGAAAACCATAAAAATCCTTGAAGAGAACACAGGTAGTAACTTCTTTCACATTGGCCATAGCAACATTTTTCTAGATAGGTCTCCTGAGGCAAGGGAAACAAAAGCAAAAATAAACTATTGGGACTACATCGAAATAAAAAGTTTCTGCACAATGAATGAAACCGTCAACAAAACTAAGAAGTACCCTACTGAATGGGAGACGATATTTGCAAATGACTTAGCTGATAAAGGGTTAGTATCCAAAATATATAAAGAACCAATACAACTCAACACCGAAAAAAAACAAATAATCCAACCAAAAATGGGCAGAAGATGTGAACAGACATCTCTGCAAAAAGACATACAGATGGCCGACACATGAAAAAATGCTCAACATCACTCATCAGGGAAATGCAAATCAAAACCACAATGAGATATCACCTCACACCTGTCAGGATGGCTAAAATTAACAACACAAGAAACAAGTGTTGGTGAGGATGTGGAGAAAAAGGAACCCTCTTGCACTGTTGGTGGGAATGTAAACTGGTGCAGCTGGTGTGGAGAACAGTATGGAGGGTCCTCAAAAAGTTAAAAACAGAACTACCCTATGATCCAATAATTGCACTAGTGGGTATTTACTCAAAAAATACAAAAATACTAAATCAAAGGGATATGTACACCTGTTTGTTTATTGCAGCATTATCTACAATTGCCAAATTACGGAAGAAGCCCAAGTGTCCATCAATAGATGACTGGATAAAGAAGATGTGCTATATATACAGAATGCAATATTATTCAGCCCTAAAAAAAAGAATGAAATCTTGCCTTTTTGTAACAACATGGATGGATCTATTGGGTATAATGCTAAGTGAAGTAAGTCAGTCAGACAAGACAAACACCACATGATTTCACTCGTATGTGAAGTTTAAGAAACAAAACAAACAAGCAAAGGAAAAGAGAGAGAAAAAAACAAACCAAGAAACAGACTATTAAATATACAGAACAAACTGATGGTTGCCAGAGGGGATGTGGGTGGGGGATGGGGAAATAGGTGATGGGGATGAAGGAGGGCACTTATCATGATGAGCACCGAGTACAGAATTACTGAATCACTAGATTATACACCTGAAACTAATATAAAAGTTAGACATTTTAAATACTAAGTAATTGCCACATTAAAAAAAAAAAGGTAAAAAAATTGCCCAAACATATCTTCCTTACTAAAAGGATCCCTTCTTCCTTACTAAAAGGATACTGGTTTTGAATGATACCGCAACATGTTCAGTTACACTTCCTTCATCTCTCTACTGTTGTTCACAGTAGCTGCATGATCCTGTTCTGGCAATGAGATGTAAAGAGAAATCTACTGTTGGAACTTTCTGGAAAGCTACTATTTTACCAATAAAGGACAGAGAGGCTCAGCTGACACACCCCTCTTACCCCTTTGCCTTTCCCATCTTTTCTGCTTAGAATTTGGACACAATGGCTGATGGTACAGCAACCATCTCCTGGTGGGACTGGAAACTGGTATGGAGACTTCCCTGGGCAGCCACGCCAGCCCTGGACAGGCTATTTCCAAACTGCTTATCATGAGAAAAAAATAAAGTCTTCAATCAGTTAAGCTATCACAGTTGGGGTCCTGTTATACGTGGACTGATACAATCCCGACAAAATGATCAATACAATAAATGAAAAATATACACCATCACTATTTAGTTACAACTAAATCAACCTACGTATTAAGTCAAAAGGAAAACCAACAGAGCTCATACCTTAATGGTAGTATTTGATTTCATACCACATCGGTAGGTCCTTGCTATCTGTGGAGTAAGATGGATTTCCTTGGTAAGTTGTCTCCATTTTCTACACTCAGGTTTTGTACACTGAACCTAGATGGAAAGCAAGATGTCAAGGTCAGTGAGCTGGCTAATCATGAGCTAGCATGTCTATCCTCCACCACTCACACTGCCATTCTTTCCATAAGATCTGACCAACCTCCCCATGAGTACTTCTTCCTCCCCCTTGCATCACCACCACCCACATAATCCACTTTTACCCCACGGGGATAATGACTTCTGATTCAATACTAGCTCAGGCACCAGGAAAGTGCAAAGGGGATCTAAGCACTGTTGTCGGAAAGGCTTTCCAGCTCTAACCTAGGGAAATGATCAGAGTTAAATTTAGTCAAAAAGTATGCACATTAAGTACAGTGTGGGATCCTGAACTAGATCCTGGAACCATAAGGACACTGGAGAAAAACCTGATGAAATCCAAATAAAGTCTGTAATGTAGTTATTAGTACTGCAGCAATGTTAATTTCTGAGCTTTACATTACGGTTGGTGGATGATAACATTAGGAGAAACTGGATGAAGGATATATGGGAATTCTCTGTTACTATCCTTATAACTTTTCTGTAAATTTAAGATTATTCCAAAATATAAGGTTTATTTTTTTAAAGCGTGCAGATATCCATATGGAAAGAATTAAGTTGGATGACTACTTCACACACATACAAAAATTAACTCAAAATGGGGGCATCTGGGTGGCTCAGTCAGTTAAGCGTCTGACACTTGGTTTCAGCTCAGGTCATGATCTCATGGGTCGTGAGACTGAGCCCCGTGGTGGGCTCTGCACTCAGTTGGGAGTCTGCTTGACACTCTCTCTCCTTCTCCCTCTGCTCCTGCTCATGCACACTCTCTCTAAATCTTTAAAAAAAAAATGAACTCAAAATGGATCAAACATCTAAATAAAGAGCCGAAGTGATAAAACTCTTAGAAGAAAACATGGGAGTCGATCTCCTCAGATTTGGCAATAGATTCTTGGATATGACACCAAAGCACAAGCAGCAAAAGAAAAAAAAAATGGATAAACTGAACTTCAAAATAAAAAACTTTGCACATCAAAAGACACTATCAAGAAGTGAAAAGGCAACCCGTAGGAGAACGTATTTAAAATTTAAAAATGGGTTGTTTAAAAAAGATGCCTTTTATTTATTTTTGTCTGATTGCTGCATAAAGAAATAAAAGACATCCAAATTGGTACGAAAGAAGTAAAACCTTCACTATTGGCAGATGACATGATATTATATACAGAAAACTCTTAAAAGACTCTACCAAAAAACTATTAGAATAAATGAATTCAGGAAAGTTGCAGAATATAACATTAATATAAAGAAGTCAGTTGTGTTTCTACACACTAATAATGGAAGTAGCAGGAAAAAAAATTAAGAAAACAATCGTATTTACAATTGCACCAAAAAGAATAAAAATACCTAGGAATAAACTTAACCAAGGAAGTGAAAGACCTGTACTCTGAAAACTGTAAGATGTTAATGAAAGAAATCTGAAGATGATACAAATGGAATGATGTATCATACTCATGGATTGAAAGACTACTGTTAAAATGTCCATACTGGGGCGCCTGGGTGGCTCAGTTGGTTAAGCGACTGCCTTCGGCTCAGGTCATGATCTTGGAGTCCCTGAATCGAGTCCCACATCGGACTCCCTGCTCAGCAGGGAGTCTGCTTCTCCCTCTGACCCTCCGCTCGCTCATGTGCTCTCTCTCAAAAAATAAAAATCTTTAGAAAAGTGCCCATACTACCCAAAGCAATCTACAGATTTAATGCAATTCCTATCAAAATACCAACAGCATTTTTCATAGAACTAAAATAATCCTGAAGTTTGCATGAAACTACAAAAGACCTCGAATAGCCAAAGCGGTCTTGAGAAAGAACAAAACCGAAGCTAACACAATCCCAGATGTCAAGATCTACAACAAAGCTGTCGTAAGCAAAACACTATGGTACTGGCACAAAAACACACAGGTCAGTGGAACAGGATAGAGAGCCCAGAAATAAACCCATGTCTATATGATCAATTAATCTACAATGGGGAGGCAAGAATATACAATGGGAGGAAGACAGTCTCTTCGACAAATGGTGCTGAGAAAACTGGAGAGCTACATACAAAACAATGGAACTGGACCAGTCTCTCTCACCATATACAAAAATAAACTCAAAATGGATTAAAGATCTAAATGTGAGACTTGAAACTGTAAAACTTCCAAAAGGAACCATGGGCAGTAAGTTCCTGGACATTGGCCTTAGCAACATATTTGTTGGTATGTCTTCTGAGGCAAGGGAGACAAAAGCAAAAATATACAGTTGGGACTACATCAAAATAAAAAACTTTTGCACAGTGAAGAAACCATCAACAAAACCCAAAGGCAACCCAGTGAACAGAAGATATTTGTAAATGACATATCCAATAAAGAGTTAATGTCCAAACTATATAAAGAACTTCTACAACTCAACACCAAGAAAACAAATAATCCGATTAAAAATTGGGCAGAGGGCCCAAATAGACATTTTTCCAAAGAAGACCTACAGTTGGCCAACAGACACATGAAAAGATGCTCAACATCACTCATCACCAGGGAAATGCAAATCAAAACCACAATGATATCACCTTACACCTGTCAGAATGGCTATTAAAAAGACAAGAAATAATAAGTGTTGGGAGAATGTGGAGGAAAAGGAACACTCGTGCATTGTTGGTAAGAATGTAAATTGTTGCAACCACTGTGGGAAACATATGGAGTTTCCTCAAAAAATAAATAGAATTACAATATGATCCAGTAATTCCACTCCTGGGTATCTACCCATAGAAAACAAAAACACTAATTTGAAAAGATATGCACCCTATGTTTACTGTAGCACTGTTTCAAAAAGCCAAGATATGAAAGCAGCCCAAGTGTCCATCAATAGATGAATGAATAAAAAAGAAGTGAGATACACACAATGAAACACAACACAAACATAGAAAGGATGAGATTTTGCTATTTTTAACAACATGGATGAACTTAGAGAACACTGTATTAAGTGAAATGAATCAGAGGAAGATAAATACCATGTGATTTTGTTTATATGTGGAACCTAAAAAAATGAACAAACAAGAAAACAAAGAGACTCTTAAATACAGAGAACAAACTGGTGGTTGCCAGAGGCAAGGTGGGTAGAGGGACGGGTGGAACAGGTGAAGGCAACTAAGAGCTACAAACTTCCAGTTATAAATTAAGTCACAGAAATGAAATGTACAGCATAGGGAATATAATCAGTAATTTTTAAAAAATGGGCAAAAGACTTGCACAGATATTTCTCCAAAGAAGATAAACAAATGGTCAATAAGCACCCAAAAAAATGCATTAATCATTACAAAAATGCAAATCAAAACCACAATGAGATACTCCCACTAGGGGTATCTCTCATTCATGCCTACTACGACAGCTAGAATCAAAATAATGGAAAACAAGAGCTGATGAGGATGTGGCAAAATTTGAACCCCACACAGTGCTGCTGGGAATGAAGACCCTGCAGCAGTGTGCTATGGAAAAAAGTCTGGCAGTCCCTCAAAGGATTAAATAGTTACCATCACAACCCAGTAATTTTATTGCTAGGTATATGCCAAACAGAACTGAAAACAGGTATTCAAATCTTCATGTACAAAGGTCCATACCAGCAACTATACGCAATAACCAAAAAGTGAAAACAACCCAAATGTCCAACAGATGACTGATGAATGGATAAATAAAATCTGACCAACCCATACAATGAAATATTACCCATGAGAAGGAATGAATTACAACATAGACGAACCTCAAGAACATGCTACTTGAAAGAAGCCAGTGATGAAAGGTCACATACTGCATGATTCCTTTATATAAAACATCCAAAATAGGTATCTCACAAAGACAAAGATCAGTGGTGGCTAGGGGAGGGGGACTGAAAGGTGACTATTCGATGGGCACAGGTTTCCCCTGTGAATGATGAAAATGCCTTGGAATTAGCATTTGGTTGCACAATATTATCAATGTATTAAATGCCACTAAATCGTTCACTTTAAAATAGTTAATGTGGGGGAACCTGACTAGCTCAGGGAAAGAGCATGGAACTCTTGATCTTGGGGTCACGAGTTCAAGCCCCATGCTGGATGTAGAGAGTACTTAAAATAATAAAACTTAAAAAAAATAAAATAGTTAATTTTATGCGAAATTTGCTTCGATAAAAAAAATTTAAGTGTGCGAGAAGCTCAAAATTACCTATAATATTTTAAAAATTAGTAAATCATTTACTAAATGGTAGTACATTTATCTAATATAAACAATCACTAAAATATATTTTCAGGGGCGCCTGGGTGGCTCAGTCGTTAAGCGTCTGCCTTCGGCTCAGGTCATGATCCCAGGGTCCTGGGACCGAGCCCTGCATCAGGGCTCCCTGCTCCACGGGAAGCCTGCTTCTCCCTCTCCCACTTCCCCTGCTTGTGTTCCCTCTCTTGCTGTGTCTCTCTCTGTCAAATAAATAAAATCTTAAAAAAAAAAATTAAATAAAATAAATTTTCAAAGAATGGCTACACGGGAAAGTAAAATCGATAAACTAAAAGCTACAAAAAATTATATGCAAAGTATGATTTTCGACCTAAGATCTGTATGCTTCTTTGTACTATGTGGATTATCAAGGTTTTCAACAGAAATTTAAAAAGTGATGTTTTAACAGACCTAGAAAGACGAATAAGTGTAATAACATAAAGATTTCCTAAAAAAATCAGTATTTTCATCCATTCCAGCCTTTCGCTCCTCAAATGTTTTCCAGGACAATACAGCATTACACTTTTTACCCAGTAGGGGAGCTGCTGGTCTGCCATGAAAGCTTTGGGACTAGGTTCGGTTTTTCCATTGCTAGTCCATATTTTTTTCCAGGTAGTGTATTTGTCATATCCGTCCTTGTGGCTAAAAAAGAATAAAAATAAATATATCAAGCTAGAAGTTCACTAGGTTTCCCAAACAGGTGGCAGGTCAGTAAGTCTTCCGTCAAGGACTTAACCGGCCATTTTATAAGGAGAGGGAAAGTTATCTCCGCACCCACCAAACAAGTGGTCGGGAGGGGTGCATTCCTTCTAGTATGGAAAACTATTAAGATGGAATGGCTTCCCGTCTGTCCAGCACCCCAGAGTTGTCAGCATCCTCCCCCAAATCTCTGCATCACTGCCCCCATGCACAGTCACAGAACAGCAAAGCAGGGCCTAGATTTTTCAGAACTTGCAGACTAGGAAGAACAACTGTCTCGTAACAGGTACTTTCTGAGCCCTGAGCGTGCACACACACAGCAAGCACACACCCAGCCACTGCACCAGAGTTCTGGCACGGCTGTAGTCAGCTCAGGCGTGGCTGAAGAGGTGAAATAATCCAGTAAGCCCGGGGGTTCCATCTTAACTGTCTGAACCCTTCTGCAGCCGCCCCCCGCTGCCACCATCCCCTCTGCCAGCTCCAACAATTAGTGAACAAACCTTCTGTAGTAATGGTCAAAGCATTCGTTACAGAAATGCTCCCCACAGGAGAGGTGATACCATCGGGATGTGTAGCCGTTTTTGGCACATCTGAAAATAGCAAAAAATGTGTAGCTTTGGTAATGAATAAGCATTTCTTCTCAATTTCTTAAAAACAGGTCTTGAGCACATCCTATGAGCCCATTTTGTACCATCTCCACTTAGAATCCTAACCACTGAGAGTTGATGACCAGGGAAACTTAAAAGGACGTCTGATCCATAATAAAACCTGATGAAGACACAGGAACTTAAAGACCCGTGGTACCTAACCCAGCCGGCTGCAAACAAGGGCCTGGGGCTTAGAAATTTTCTCAGGACTCCCCGGAGCAAAATGAGTTTCAGGACACGAAACAAGGAATGTCGCCGTGCTTGCTGCGTGCGGCATGTGTCTGGAGGAGACCTGGGCAGTCTCTAGCAGTAACATATGGCCCAATGCTGAATAGCCAGCTGCAATCTGACCACCAAGCAGGCTCTCCGGCGAACAGAACCTGTCAAAACAGCCAATAATGTAGCCAAAGAATGACCTACGGTGCCACTGTGAACACTACCACCACCACCTCTTTGTGGTTAAAACACAAAAATGGGATTTGTTTTCCAGGTTTTATTGACTCGGAAGGCTTAACTGAAGATTTTTCTCGGGAAGTAAAAGGTCAGATCTCTCTTTTTAGGAAAACTATCTTGGGAGGATGATGCTCCCACCAAGAATGCTCTCGGGGGCGGTGGGGGGGAGGCCGAGACGCGCCTGCTTCACAGACCTTTCAGAAGCGCTTGCAAAGCACACGGGACACGCTACTGTGCAGCCTGACTTCTCACATCGCCTATATTTCTTCTCTGACCCGCCGTCTTCGTCCTCGTCTGTTGTCTCTGTTGCTTTTTTCTTCGCCTGAGGAAGAACCAGACGAAGTTACACGATTTCCCCCAGAAGGGCCCCGGGTGAAGGAGGTAGAAGGTTCGTGACTGAAATAACTTCCATGTTGTGAAACTCAACAACACCCTGCCAGTAGGTGAGGGGCTGACGATACAGCAAGTTCCTTGAGCCTGCAGTGTGCAAATAATTCACAGACTTGCTGGAAATACAGAAGCAGCATGTGAACGACAGGTCTCTGAGGACAGAGCCAAAATGCACGTGGGCCTTTCTTAGAAAAAAGCTGTACCAGTCAAAACAGAAGTCACTCTGAAATAAAGACTTTTTTTTTATTTGATAGAGATGGTGAGAGAGAGCATGAGCCAGGGGAGTGGAGAGGGAGAAGCAGGCTCCCCGCTGAGCAGCGAGCCCCACAAGGGACTCAATCCCAGGACCCTGGCATGACCTGAGCGAAGGCAGATGCTTAACCCACTGAGTCACCCAGGAGCCCCCCCAATTTTCTTTCCTTTAATTAGAACAGTCATATCCTCTCAGTACTGCAGATTTTAAAAAATTGAACAATTTTATTATTTTTTAAGCTTTTGTATTTAAGCCATCTCTACACCCAACATGGGGCTGCTCACCACCCAAGGTCAGGAGTGGCCTAAGCCAGCCAGGTGCCCCCAAAAGCTGAATAATTTTAGAAAAAGAGTTACATCACTCAGTATTTTTCTTAAAAAAAAAAAAAAAAAAAAAGCCCTAGAAAAGAGATGGCAGCAAGTAACCTGCCAAGAGCAGCCAACCAGCTACAAACTGAAGTCCACATTCCTATGAATGACACCAAGCCAAGCATAATCTGGCCTCAGCTCACATCCTGGGAGCAACCACACAGCTGTGGTTCTCTGAACAGCTCATGCTGATTCACACTCTATGCCCCTGTCTTTGCAGTTCCCTCTGCCAGAGGTACTTTTTTCTACATTCTATCACTTTATCACACTGTGCCGTGATTGTTCCAAGGGGAATTTCTCCGCAAGGCTACAAGTTCCTTGAGGACTAGAATTGTACCTCTTCATCTCTAATACTTCAGTCCCAATCATACTTACGTTGTGGGGCGCCAGGCTGGCTCAGTCTGTGGAACATGCAACTCTTGATCTCAGGGTTGGGAGTTCAAGCCCCACGATGGGTGTAGAGATGACTTAAAAATAAAAAAACGTGGGGCACCTGGGTGGCTCAGTCAGTGAGGCGTCCCAACTCTTGATTTCAGCTCAGGTCATGATCTTGGCTCAGGTCATGATCTCAGGGTCGTGAGAGCAAGCCCTGTGTAGGGGCCCTGTGCTTGGGCGGGAAGCCTGCTTAGGATTCTCTCTCTCCTTCTCCTCCCCCTTTGACTCGGCCCCCCCACCCCTGCTCGCACTCTTTCTCTAAAAACAAACAAACAAAACCCAACAGGTGCATTAATGAACAAATGAATTAATACCTGCCTACCGGAGCTCCTCAAAGGCAGGCTATCCGGAGAATGATCAAAAGATGCTTTTTTCTTTGTCCTCCTCCGGGGTGTCGCCATTGTTTCAGAAAATCTTCAAAAAAAAAAAAAATTTTTTTTCTTTTTTTTAATGAGATAAGTAAACAGTAATACTTTCAACACTCTGGAGCAAAGTTATTACGTAGTTTACTAGGTAAGAGCATATGCTCTGCAGTTAGACTGCCCTAGTATGAAGCCCTTACTTTCAAGTTACTTAATCTGAGACTAAGCCTCAGTGTTCCCGTATATAAAATGGGCACGGCAGTGTGTACCACAGTAGTGGTGTGAGGAGTAAGATAATCTATTTAAAGCACCAGACCTGGCACACTATAAGTACTTAATAAATGCTGTCCATTAGTAGTATATACATATAAAAATATAAAAATAAGAAACACCCCACAGATGACCAATAAACCAATTATACTGTTTGTAAAATTCAATGAGTAAAAACACCTGGTCTTTGTCTGTCTGTCCCTCTTCATCTTACTGCCTTCTCAGTAGCTCCTGAATTTCAACCTCATTATACTCTACAAAGAAAACTCATTTGCTCCCTCTCAGTAAAATCTCAGGCACGCTATCCAGTCACTACTGGATTTAAGACTCTGGGTCAGACAGTCACTGGTTATCTTCTACTAGAAAAATTTACAAGCTTTCAAACTGGCCTAATAACAACACAGTTAAATAAGCATCAAGAACCAAAGTCTGTAAGAAAAATAATGCATAGTAACCATGAAAGACTGAGTTATTGAATTAGTATTTTTCAATTAACTAAGAAATAAAAATGCTTACCATAAGCATGCAATAACAAACAGATTTTACAATCATCACAATTCCTTCCCTGATCCATGTATTTACTACACACACACACACACACACACATACAATAACATGAAAATAGGACATACCTATGAGTAAGGAATTTGAAAGTGGAAAAGTGTTAGAAGATACAAATTCCACAAATAAAATCTTCATCTTGGAGAAAAGCTTTGAGGGCCTTGTAATCTTACTGTTTCCTATCCATGAGTTGTACTAACATTCATAAGAGCATTTTTCACGGATTATTAACATCACATGCAAAAACTTCATTCGCCACCTACACGGACTTCGAGAAATCCTGACATCGGTGGTAAGGTAGAGAGCCTTCCTCTCCGTCTTCACATTCTCAAAACCATGTTAGTTATGAACGCACAAACCCTATACATATTCTGAAATACATTACAGTTAAGCATTAAATAAGTTGCCTTTTGGTTCTATACCGCTCATTCTACTGCTGGATAAAGTACTACTGATGTAAACAGAACGACTGTGTACCTATAATTCTTACACCCAAAGGCTTTCTGGATCACATTTATATTTTCAAAAGGCTGTCCAATCTAACGAATCTCTTTAAATAATACATATGTTCTACATTATTCATAAAATGAGCCACAAAGCACATATAAACATATATATATGTAAATGCATACTATGTGCAAAGATTGCAGCAAAAATATTTGAGTCTAATGTGGGGTTTAGGAGCATAATCAGCCTCGTTTCACGCAACATTTGGTCCTGTCACCTAAGAATACTGGCAACTCAAAAGAAAGCATAGTTTCTGGAAATTTCAACAAACATTTTAATCCAACTGTGTACTGGAAAATATATATTTAATTGCAATGAAGAATTATATAATTCAAGAAATGGTTAAGAGAAAAGGAAAACAGTGACTATAAAAGCCACTGTTAAATCTGTTATCTAGGAAAAATACAAGTAAAGATTTTTTTAGTGTTCGTACACTTCCACCGTTAAGCATATAATTAATGGTGATATTCCCTCATCCTTTTCTGACACTATAGTTTCTGTATTTTCACTGTTGCTGGGGCTTTGGGGCTTAAGATGAAGGGAAAAATTTTTAAGTTGGAAGGACAACAGCTTTTGTGCTTTTCAATACAATCTTAGAAATACTGATCACAAGTGCTAACAATTAGTATACTGAAAGTGTTCTCACCTGGTTTTTCAAATTGATAAACACACCTAACTAAATATAACCAATCTGTTTCATGTTCAATATAATTATATAAGCATATTTCTTCCTAATTTTAAATGTATAGCTTTGGTTTTCTTTTAAAGTGACAAAAAGAAAAAAGTGAGGTTTTGGGGGAAGGTAAATATATACACGGATATATCAATGTCTCGATTCCTATTTTGATAATTCCCAGTTTTTTCTGAAGTAGCCTATTGAATAATTTTTTTAAAAAACGCAGAATTCACAAAAATATGAATCCAAAAAGACTTCAGGTTGGAATAAAAATGTATGGTAGCATCAGCATACTTTCTAAAAATAAGACAAACTACCAGAAACTTCTTCAGAGACAACAGAAACAAGAATTGCCCTCAGGGCCGCTGAAAATACGGCAGGACCAGCACCTTACTGCACCCACGCTCATCAAATTTTCCGAAATATGGATCCCGTTCAACTGCCTGAACGCTTTATTGACTACTTTCTCTGCCCGAAAGACAATTTAATTCTTGATGGTCATTTTCTCCTATACGTCCTGAAGAAACCTTCCCTCCCGCCCCCTTCTTCCACTACAATAGGTTAAAAAAAAAAAAAAAAAGACCGAACAAAACGCAGCAGCCCTGAGTGGTGTGCATACCTGCAGAGCGACGCGCTCCCCAAACGGAGTGGTCTGGGGACTCCCGCACCCCACCCCAGGGAAGGCTGGGCCTCCATCTGGCTCGATCCCACATTACGGAACCTCAACTTTCTACAGCTGGGCCTGCCTCTCTTCCTTCCTCTTTCACCTGCTAGCGGCCGGGCTGTTGACTACGAGCTCCGGGAACCGGGCCGCCCCCTCCGGGGGCTCAGGCCCCGAGGAGCTAGCCTAGCAATCTGGCAAAGCGGCTCGGGGCTGAACGCGTGGTGGCTGCGCCCGACTATTACTACAACACCTGCACGGCTGCGCGGGCTCCTCGGCTGGGAAGAACACGCCAGGGAGTTCCTACCCCCGGACTGGGGGCTCTCCGCCGGCCGCAGACACTCCCCAGCTGACAGGGCTCTGACAGTCCCCAGGAGGGAGCCCCCACGTTCCCGGCGCCAGCTGCAGCCGCCTCGCTCTCTGAAAAGCTTTCTCGTCTCTTCTCCCAAGTAGGAGAAGCAACAGCCTCCGGGGCTCACCTTTGCGCTGGAGAGGTGCAAGGAGTCGGGGGGAGAAGGCACCACTGCACAGAAAGGAAGCATGGGAGGGCGGGCGGTTAGGAGAGACCCTCAACCCCGCGACGAATCGGGGAACCCCGTCGCTTCTACAAGCCAGCCCGGGAATCCCCCCCCTTCCCTCAGACCCCGCACCCCCTTTCCAATCCGGGGAGGGCGGGGGCAGCCCCCGGTGCACCGGTCCACCTCCCACCCGGGCGAGGGGCGCTGCACAGGGGGAGAAGGGCAGCCTGCACCCCAGCCAAGCCGCTTTGTGCGGAGCTGTCACCCGAAATCCGCCGCCGCCCCCGCGCCCGCCCCCGGAGCCGCGTGCCCCGCACCTGGGAGCGCGGGCGAGACGCTGCGCGCCGCCCGGGGCTGCCGGCGCCTCTCCGGAGCCGCGCGCCGCGCGCACAGGACAGCACGATCCGCGCCGCGAGCCGCAGCCCCAGCTCGGCCGCCGCCGCCGCCGCCGCCGCTTCCGCCCCTGTCACGGCGTGACCCGGGGTGGGAGGAGCCGGCGGGACCAGGGAGGAGTAGGGTCCCCGCCTTCGCCTTCGCCGCGGCGCTCGCCCCGCCCTGGCCATTTCCGCCGCTGCGCAAGCCGGGGCGCCTGGGGCGGGGGGCGGGATCTGCGCGCGGGGAGGGGCGGGCCCGGGGCGGGGCGCGCGGGCCAGGGGCCTTGGGGCGGGCGGCGGCGGCCGCGCCGGAACCAGCTGCTGGCTGCCGGACGCGCGCGAGGTAGGCTTGCCCGGGCGCAGAGAGGGTGCGGGAGAGTTGGCACGACTTGCTAGGTGCGAACCTGTAATCGGGATTCTGGGCTGGGGCATCCTGACCAGCGTGGGCAGCCCAGCAATCCGCGCCCGGAAATGGGATTCAGGAAGCAGAATGGGACCTGGGAATAACGAGGTCGGGCAATTAATACCTTTCTGAGTTCATGATTTAAAGCGCCTCCAAAGCATCGCTCTGTATTAGTGGTTTTTAAGAAAAGAGAAGTACTTGCTAAATAGTGAGTGATGCTTTGGGGGCGAGGGCGGGGGTGGGGGCGGGGGATTGGGAACTGGGGTGCTGTAAATATTTTGTCTTGCTCCAAGGTTGTTACACACGTGTATGCGTATCTAAAAATTCACTGAGTCGTACTCAAAATCTGCGCACTTTAGAGAAGTTATTACTCAATTTAACATTTAAAAATAAATCTAAAGCAGAAACATGTTTTTTTGGAAAGGTGACAGAGGAAGCCAGACTTGAGAGTCCATTCAAAGAGGACTTAGAGGGCCCAAACTGGCACATCTGCTTCCGTGTGTGGGTAGGAACAGTTGTGAACTTTGCCTTTCCTGATTCTTATAATTTGCACTTTTATCTTGTTATAGAAAGAAACTTTTTATTTCTTTCGAAAAGCACTCCGGCAAGTACACATTGAGATGCTATTAGAACAGCTAAGAAGTGGTTAAGTTATATACATGATGTTAACTTATATTTCAAATTTGTGTGAAAGAGATAGAATTGTCCATTTCCAGGTTGGGCTGGCTCTGCGATGAAATTAAGCTTCCCTTTTGTTTCGAGTAGAGAACTGCTTTATGAAGGCTCAACCTCAGGTTCCAGTTTCTGACTGAAAATGTAGATGGGAAAACTGTAACTCTTTTGCTTTTCTGTACCCAATATAATCAGATGCTTCCCTCTGACCTCTCAGAAAACCGAGAGTCACCTCCTGACATCAACAGGACCTTGCAAAAGCATTTGTTAACAGATATTTTCTGAGAAATGAATTTTGTTCCCAGTTCCAGAGGGGTGGGGGTGTGGGGTGTGCCTTCTAGCCCCTGAAAGCAAATTTTGCAATAAAGGGAACTTTTCCTGAAATACCTGCTTGAGGTGATGTTTGCTATTCTCACTGATAAATCATTAAATTAGACTCGCCAATAATACTATGCTAGTATAATACAAACTAAATTAGTATCACTGATTCAAAGGGAATGTTAGAATTAATCAAGTTATATTGTCCTTAGTATTACAGAGTTCACATTGAAAGGACAGACATTTTCCTCATACCTTCAGATAGATTTGCAGTTATGTTTAGGTGTCCTTTTTTTCCTCAGTTCCTTTGTGTGCATTTTCCCATACAAAAAAGGAACTACAAGAAAATTATTCGAAAATACAAACTTATGGAATAGAGATAGGACATCAAACCCACATATCTACTTTCACTCCCTCCTGAAACCCCATCAAAACAACAACAAAGGCATAAATCACTAGGGTAGGGAGAACAGATGAGACAAATGCAATTAAATTTTGAAATCCAGAAAGCAGATGGGCAAGTGTTAAAGGATTTTGCAGACTGAAGAAAGCTAAATTCTAAACCAGCAATGGGGAAAGCCAAGAAACCGATTTGCATTATAGAAACCCCAAATGCTCAGGAATTAGCTGTACCAGGTTCCTCCAGGAGGTGGAAGGGGTATGATTGAAACTAGAAGCACTGCTTGAAATCCCCACATCCCTTTCCCAACTCCCCGCAACAAGGTAACTGCCTATCTCTTGTGGCACCAGCAGAGTTTGGGGGGAGGCTTTATTCCCTGCAGAAGGTAAGGACTCTCTGGACTGGGGAGAGACAAATACACAGTTGGGGCTTTGAGTACCATATTGAAAATGGAGAATAGTTGAACACAGGCAAACCAAATGTTGGGACCCTCTCTCACTTCTATCCTTTTCTCATGTGAGTATTCGACATGGCCCCCAAGGACTTGATCCTTACAACAGGGGTTGGGAGAGCCATCTGTGGAAAGTCTGACCAGTCAAAAGAAAATAAAAATAATGACATCTAGGTTTCCGCATGAAATCCATTCATATCATCCTTCCAGTGAAGCTTGCAGTCAGTGAGCCTACGCACATACTTAAACATCTAATCAGCTTTTTAGTACTACTTTTAAACATGAGCAGGTAATAATAATCATAAGCATTTGAGGAAAGTCACTAGTTGGAAAGACGGAAGACAAACCAACAGAAAAAGTGACTCGCAAGCAGCAGACTATGCAGATAAAATACTATATCCATTCTATATATGAAATAAAATAATATAAAAAGAACATCAGAAACAAAAAAAATAAACTCTTGAAAATTAAAGCCTTGATAGGAAAAAAAACAAAAATGTTTATTTAAAAACTAAATAGAAAGGTAGAAAGATAAAAATTAAGGCAGTCTCTGAGAAAATAGAGCAAAAAGATGAAGAGCTGAAAAATAGAAAAAAAATATGAGAAATTTATACTAGGTCATGAGGTTCTACAGCCAAACAAAAGGGGTCCCAGAAAGAAATAGAAACAAGAGGGACAAAAATTGTTATCTGAATAATTCAAGACTTTTTCCAGCATTGAGGGATAGGACCTTCCAAATTAAAAGAATTCAGCCAAATGGTTGAAAATAGACCCAAAAGAAGGCATAGAATTATGAAATTGGAAAAACTAGGGGCAAAGAAAAGCCTTGCAAGAGAAAAAAGCATACTGGCCTCATGGAAAATATCAGGATCAGAACATTTTTGAACTTAAGCAATATCTCTGGAAGCTAGAAGACAATGGAATGACTTTTTCAAAATTGAAGAAAAAATGGTTTCTGACC